CGGGCGGGGCCCGCGGGCGGTGCTCGGTCGCCCTCCAGCCATTGGGCGCGGGACCCAGACGTCCCCGGCGCCCAACCCCCTCTGCACGCCTTCCTGGCGCTGGGCTCTCCGGACCGCACTCCCGGGAACTCGGCGCTCCGTGGTCGGGGCTAGTGCGCTTCGCGGATCCGGCTAGCCAGCCGCGCTGGGCTTGGGGACGCGCGGGGCTCCCCGTTTCCCCTCCTGCCAGGCCCGCCCCCGCTGCCACTGGGCCTCCTGGAGTGCTGGGCCCTCGGCTCCCTCTTGGTCCCGGGCTAGACGGAGACACAGCGCGCCTCAGATTTGGGGACCCCGAACTCGGGGGTCAGAGGACAGTTTGGCGCCCCCTTCTCTGGAGTGGCAGAGGAAGTGGTGGAATTCCAACTAAACCCGGTTTACCAGGATCCTGGGCCCGGTCGCTGAGGTCCGGAATTCCCTTTCCAACCCCCTGGGGGTGTGTGGGTGGGTAATCAAAGTCGGGAACACCGGCGACACTTTTTTTAAACAAAACTTTATTGGTAATAGTTTGCAAATATGTTTACAACAGCACACTGTTCAAGAGGAAGTCTCGTCCTTCGAAGCACACAGGTTGAATGGCCCCCTGCGCCCACTCGGGGCCCCATCCCAGGCCGGAGAGCTCCTCCGTTTTGGGAGAAGTTACTATAGGGACAAACACGGGGATGAACAGGGTGAGTCCCCAGCAGCTCCCCACCTTTCTATTAAGAGAAAGCACAAATCAGACTTGGGGGAGGGGGCAGTGGGTGGTGGGGCTACAAAGCAAGAGGTGGTGGACAGCTAGGGTAGAAGAAAGGCGCCCAGGATGGAGAGGGGCTTCCTAAAGGGGCTGTTGCGCAGGATTGACATAGCCTCCCCTTTACCCCGCCCCCTCCAAAGAGGGCCGGGAGGCTAGCAGCTCAGGGTGAGGTTCAAATCCCAGTTCCTTCCATTACAGAGTCAGTGGGCTCCCCCAGCCTCGTCCGAATGATTTTGGGGCGTGGTGAGGGGACCTGGGAGGAGTGAGGCAGAATCAGGAGGGCGGGAGGCACTGATGGAACTTAAAGATTAAAAAATAAAATTCTAGCAAGCAGCCCTCTGTACACGTCACTAATCTCTCCCTTCCCAGGTAGGACTGTGTGAGGGAGGGAAGGTTGGCTTTTCTGTTCGCTTGTTCTTAGCCCCCGGTGCCTGGGTGGGGATGGGGTCTGGGGTGTATTCCTGTCCCTGGATACAACAGCTAGACTGTGTCTGACTGGAGCTGAGAAATTCATTGAAAACTGGCAGAGAAGTGGGCTGGGGTGGGCGAGAGGGGCAGGAAAGTGAAGGGAGGGGAGCAGCTGGTATCCCACCCCTCTGAATACCTGGCTTTCCTGCTGTCCCTAACCCTGGGGGTGGGGGCGGGTGGAATGGGGGTGAAATCAGATGCATGGAACTCTGGGGCCCTCTGGCTGTTCAATCCAACCCTCCCCCCCCACCCCCACCAAAAATGAAGAAAAATGAAAGAAAACCCATGGGGACATAGGCACACCCCTAAAACTCAGAAAACTCCTTGCCACACTTCTCATTGATGGACACCCGGATTTCTTCCTCCTCGTAGTCATCAAAGTTACTCGTGTCCCCAGGGCCTTTAAACTTTGGTATGAAGGGAGCTTCCACCTGCAAAGGGATCAAGAACCACCCAGATCAGTAGTTGACCTCTCCGCCTTACAGCAATAAATGGGAATGGTCTAACTTAAGGAGACATTTGCTGTGACCAAGCCTGTGCTAAGCACTAGGGTATAGTGTCTTTTTGGCAGCTCAACTCAAGGGAGGAGTGTTTCCTGCCCAAGGCCACAAAGAGGACCCCAGCATTCCATGTCTAGCCCCCATCAACTCCAGGTTGCCTGGGAGTTGATCCTGCACTTTCGGGCCTTGTGCAAGATTCTCTCCTTGGTTCCTAGCCTCCCAACCCTGGGCATGCTGGAGAAGAAACCCACCTTCCTCTGGTAGATGGCAATCCAGTCAGTCGTGGCAAACCACTTGTGGTTCTTTATGTCGTTAACCCCATTCTTGAGGTTCCCGAAACGCTTGGTGAGATCCACCTGCAGAAGGTTCCGCAGCAGGTCCTTCAAATCCGAGCTGAAGTGGGAAGGGAACCGCACCTGGAAGGGGGGGTGCAGATAGAGTGGGGTGCTGCTTATAATCTTGGGGCGCCCTGAAGGCTGCCTTTTGCTTTTTTTTTTTTTGGAGACAGGATCTTAGTATGTAGCCCAGGCTAGCCTTTAACTCCTGGTCCTGTCAGTCTCCTGAGTGTTGCATATATATGTCAACCACACTTTGGCTGAGGGCTGCCTTCTCTGTCCAATGGTCCTGTTGGGAGCCTGTTAAGATGGCTTGATGGAGCTATGGTATAACTAAGTAGTAGACTGGTTGTGCAGCACAAATAATGCTTTGGCCTCAATCCCTAGCAACCACAAAAACAACAACAAAAATGTATGTTGGGTCCCTCTGAGATTGCTGACTTAAGAATTCTGGGTAAGGCCTAAGAATCTGCTTTTTGAACAAGATCCCTAAAGAGGCCCTTTTGAAAAGCACTGCTCTAGGCAACCACTTAAATGGTTCCCATTTAAGAGAAAACTGGGGAAACTGCACCTCAGAAGGGTTAAATAGCTCCCCGAGGTTACAGGGACGGGTGATTCTGTTTTAGGCCTGCACTTAGGTTCCTAGTTGTGCTTCAGGCAGCTCTGTTAAGAGTCTGAGACTTCTACAATACTGATAATTGTGGGCAAAATTATGTCTTCCCTCATGCTACATAGTGACAGCACTTCCATTCCTTTGGAATTGCAGCTCCAGAGGCTCTTGACACCCTTGTATGCAACCATTGGACTTAACAGCCCAAGAACTGGCTTTGAGAGCCAGTCATGGTGACAACAGGCCTGTCATTCCTGCTCTTGGGAGGGTGAAGCAGAAGACAGAGTTCCAGACCCATTAGGGTTACACAGCAAGACCATTTCAAAAAACCACAGAAGGGCTGGTGAGATGGCTCATCAGGTACAGGCACTTGCCACCAAGCCTGGGGACCTGAGTCCAGTCCCCAAGTCCTGCATGGTAGAAGAGACACGACTCCTCTAAGCTGTCCTTGACTTCTACATGTGTGCTGTGGCACAGGTATCTGCACTTACACAGTGAATAAATAAATGGAAAAAACAGAAAAAGAAACCCACAGAAATACAGGAAAGGATGAAAGGAAGCAAGGGAAGGCAAGCAAGGGAGGGAGGAAGGGAAAGAAAACCAACTTGTGCCTTTGTGCTTTTCACGTGCTGTGTGACCTTGGCCAGGGTCTTTAACCTCTCTAGGCCTCCACTGGCCTCACTGACATGGGGCAGATAACCCAGGGTTCTATGTGACAAGATAACACAGCCAAGGCCCATGGGAACTGCAAATTGCTACAAAAGGGATTATGCTCAGCTATGTTTGGTGGCACATGCCTATAAACCTAGCACTTGGAAGGTGGAGGCAGGAGTATCCAGAGTTCAAGGCTAGCCTCCATTATATAATGAGTTGGAGGCCAGCTGGGGCTATATGATACTGTTTTCAAAACAACAAAAAGGCCTTTATACCCAACACTGAGGAGGCAGAGGCAGCCTATGTGAGATTCGAGGCCAGCCTGGTCTATATGTGAGTTCCAGGCCAGCTGTGGCTATAGGAGGTCCTGTCTCAAAAAGACAAAACAAAAACAGAAACAAAACAAAAAAAAAAACAAAAAAACTCAATGACAGACAAACAGGCGAATTAGCCTTCTCAGAATCTATGGACTTTATTTGAGCCTGCCAAGCCACCATCTTAGCCATTTTTATTTTCTGTTTTGTGTTTCTTCTGAGACAGGGTGCCATTCTGTAACTGGCCTTAAATTCACACAGATCACAGTAATTCTCCTGCCTCAGCTTCCTGAGTGCTGTGATAACAAGCATGTATTACCACACTTGGCTGTTTCTCTTCTGCCTCGAGGGAAATGCTCATCTTTCCTTCCTGAGTGATGATATGTACCCTACTCTGAGGTCCTCAACATACAGTAAATGGGTGACTTCTAACCTCCCAGAGAGGCTGGTTCTTTGGTTCCCAGGTGTGTAAGATGAGGCTCAGAGGGGTGAAGAGATTTTTTTCTGAAGTTTCAAAGCCAACAGGTGGCAGGGCTGGGATCTGAGGATGGGCTGCGCCCACAGCTACTTGAATTTCTGTGCCACTTGAGTTATTCAGAGCCAGCCAGTAGCTCTTGGAGAGGATCAGGTGGGGTCTAGGTCAGGTGGGGTGACAGCCAGGTAGAAGAGCTGAATGATACTGGGTGGGATTCTCAGCGTCCACCTCAAGGCCTTCACTTGTTCCCTAGGGTGTAATCTCAGACCAGACATGTTTCCTTTCTGTACCTGCTTCCTCTCCTATCCCACATGGGTACCATTTCTTCAGAGTATGGAAAGGATGGAAAGGACTTTATATACTTCATAACCTTGAGCTTGAACAGTTCTACTGTCCAAAAGGGACACTGCTGGGTTTTTGTTTTGTTTTGTTTTTGAGGCAAGGTTTCACACTGTAGTCCAGGATGGTCTAGAACTCCTAGCAGTCTTCCTAACTTGGACTGCCAAGTACTGTGATTATAGGCTGCATCACCATGCCAACTTCCACATTTGGAAGGGATATATAGCTTTAGGTACTGTCCACAGCAAGATGAGGCTTGCAGGTGGGGCTGGGGGCAGCACCGGGGAAACAAACAAGTTTGCTCTTCTGTCTTGGGGTCAGGGCAGCACTTCTGTAGTTACAGTTCTGATGTGGCTCAGCCTTTCTGACATGATTGGGAATTCAGTGCTGATAGTTGGGAGCTAGACAAGGACAGTGCTCCAAGTGTTGGCTCCAGTGTGCACGTATGCATGTTTGGGGACACATACATACATTTTTTACTTGAACAAGTGGTGCTCCAGGATGAGTAGGACCAGCAGGTAGGGAAGGCTCTTTGATTTTGTGTGTGTCTTCATGTTACCAGGGTAAACATTCTAGGCCAGTGCCCTACCCCTGAGCTATGCCACTAGTCCCTCACTGGGGGAGTCTAGGCAGGGACTCTACCACTGAGCCATACTCCCAGCCCCTTTCTGGGGGATTCTAGGCATGTGCTCTACCACTGAGCCATGCCCCCCCAACCCTTGTGTACGGATTCAGACCAAGTGCTCTACAGGTGAGCCATATCCCTACCCTTGTTTTTTTCTGACGAGTCTTATGATTTAGGCAGGCCTGGAAATCTTTATGTGGCCCAGGCTGTCTTGGTCCTCAAACTCAAGACCTCCTGCCTCAAGCTCCAGAGTGCTGGGATGACAGGTGTGTGCTAGCATGCCCAGCCCTGGTGGGACATGGTGAGGATCTTTTGGTTCCTTCCAGGGCTGACCTCCCCATCCTGGCCTCACCTTCCCAGAGACGATTTTCTCGTAGATCTGGATGGGCTGGTCGGCAAAGAAGGGCGGGTAACCAGCGGCCATCTCGTAGATGAGGACCCCGAGAGCCCACCAGTCCACAGCCTTGTTGTAACCCTAGAGCAAGATGGGGGGGGCCACGTGAAGAGGGAAGAAGGTGAAGAGGGAATTGATCCTCAGGGCAAGGCAGGTCCCTAAGTGAGGAAGAGCAGGCTTCGGGTGGGTAGCGCAGGCTGGGGAGGTGCCTACTTTGCTCAGGATAATCTCAGGGGCCAAGTACTCAGGGGTCCCACACAAGGTCCAGGTACGGCCTTTCACACGCTTGGCAAAACCGAAGTCTGTCACCTGTGGGCACAAGAATGGGCAGTTGGCAGGGAGAAGGGCTGCAGATGGCAGACTTGCCTGGGGCTGCCCTTCCCCCCTGCCTTGGGCACCTGAATATAGCCCTGCTGGTCGATGAGCAGGTTCTCGGGCTTCAGGTCCCGGTAGATGAGGTCCAGGGAGTGCAGGTACTCAAAGGTCAAGACGATCTGCGCCGCATAGAAACGGGCATGGGGCTCGCTGGTGGGGGGGGGGGGACAAGCCAGGAGGGGACAGGTGGGTGAGAGTGGCCACATGCCCATGTGCTCCAGCAAGTGGGCCTGCACTCCCACAGAGCAAGACACCCCATGTGTAGTTATCTAAAATGTGGATTCAAGGCTGGGCATAGTGCCATGTACCAGTAGTCCCAAACTATGTGGGAGGAGGCTGAGGCAGGAGGACTGCCTGAGCCCTTGATTCCAAGGACAGCCTGGGTAACAGAGACACAGTTCCTGAAACAAAAACTGGAGAGCCTGTCCTCCTAGCATTCTGGGAGGCAGAGGCAAGAGAACTGGCATAAATTTGGAGTCAACCTGGGCTATACAGTGAGTTCCAAGCTAGCAAAGGCTACACAATGAGATTCTATGTCAAAAAACAAAAAACAGAACAAGCAAACAACAAAATCCTGAGATTCTGAGCTGTACAATTCTATTCCCAACATGTCCCAACCCAGATGAAACCATGAGGGCTGGAAGCCAGAAGGGACAATTGCCTTGTTGAGAAGGAATCAACCAAAGAAAGTAGTTCAAGGGGATTTTCTTGGAAGAGGGAAATTTTGATAGAATATTTTAGAGGGAGATAGCCAGGATACTCACAAGTATCAAAACAAAACACCTCACAGGGAAGCACCTCCTTGTGAGTTTTTGTTGCTTTGGTGTGGTGGTTTGCATGTTTTTCAGAGAGGGGCTTGCTATGTGGCCAGGCCTGCCTTAAACACCAGATCCTCCAGCCTCAACCTCCTGAGTGTTGGGATTACAGATATACACTGCCATGCCTGGCAAGACGTGTACTCATTTTATGGCATGTAAAATATATTTATACATAGTTGTCAAAGCCCTATGTAGACCAGAATGGCCTCAAACTCACAGAGATTCTCCTGCCTCTTCCTCCCAAGTGCTGGGATTAAAGGTGTGCACCATAACGCCTAGCTATAATAGTATAAAATTTTTAATTGCCTAAAATTACCCACCAATTTTCACAATTTTTGCTAAGCGCAGTGGTGGTCCTAAGAAGCTGAGGCAGAGGATGGAGTGAGCCTAGGAGTCAAAGGCCAGCCTGGGCTACATAGTGAGATCTCATTAATTTTTCTTGCTGTGTTGCAATTTTATGATGCTGAACCCCAGCCATACCAATTCAAACTCTGACCCCTAAGTCATCATGATTGGTCACTTTGTTTGAGCTCTATTGGTTGAAACATCACAGACTTCTTAGCACAACAGGAGCAACCCCCACAGGGGCTGAGTACAGGCATATGCCTGTCATGCCAGTACTCAGATCAGCCTGGGCTACACAGCAAGATCCTGTCTCTAAAAACAAACAAGTAAACAAGCAAGCAAGCAAGCAAATACCAAAACAAAAGCCTTGTGCGACCCAGAGAAAGCGCTTCTATTTCCAAGCAGGCAGGAGCCCTCCATGATCCCAGATGGTTTGGTAGTCTCTGGGGTAGCCAGGGATAGGTCCCACTTACCTGAACCTTCCGATCCGCCGTAGGTGGGAGAACATCTCCCCGCCAGGCACATACTCCATGACCATGTACAAGTTTGAGTTGTCCTGTGGGTGGCAGAGCAAGTCAAGACCCTGTTCCCGGAGCACTGACCCCAGCCGAAGGCCCCAGTGGCTTTGAGGGACAAGCACTGAGCCATAAGTGACAGTGACCTTCCCAGTGGCTCATGGTCCAAGCACTAGGAGCTACATTCTCTATAGGAACAGAAAGGGGCTAGCCTGTTCTCACAGTGAAAGTGGGGACCTGGCTGGTGTCCCAACTGGAGGATTTTTTGATTTTTTGAGACAGGGTCTCCCTGTAGCCCCAGCTGTCCTGGAACTCACCAGGTAGAGCAGGCTGGCCTTGAAACTCACAGAGATCTGCCTGCCTCTGCCTCCCAAGTGCTGAGATTAAGGTGTGCACCACCATGCCTGGCACAACTGGAGTTCTAAATAGTGGCTCCTGTTTCAGAGTTTCAGCTTTGTTGTTTGTCACATGAGCAGGACAGGCAATAGGATTTGCAGGGCCCAATAAAAAAATATTTTGGCATGGTGATGATATGTCAGGGAATGATAGGCTTCAAGACTAGCCTGAGCTACGTAGTGAGATGCTGTCTCCTAAAACCAGGTAGGCTTCCTTATTAAAAAAATTACTGCAGGGGCTAGAGAGAGATGGCTCAGTAGTTAAGAACATTTGCTATTCTTCTAGAGGACCCGGGTTTGATTTCCAGCACCCACATGGTAGCTAACAACCATCTTTAACTCCAGTACCAGGGGATCTGACACCTTCTTCTGAACTGCATGGGCACTGCACAAAAAGAGTACAACTTAACATACATGCAGGCAAAACAGTCATATACAGAAAAATAAATATTTTAAAAATTACAGGGCTGGAGATGTGGCTCAATAGCAGAGCACTTGCCTTGCACATTCAAGGCCCTGGGTTCCATCCCCAGCATGAGAAAAAAACAAAAACAGCAAACACTAGCAGGGCATGGTGGCTCACACCTGTGATTTCAGCACTCAGGAAGCTGGGACACAAAGATGATGATTTCTAGGCCAGCCAGGGCTACACACTGAATTTTGTATGGCAAGGGGAGACAGTGGCCTCAGTGCAGGAACCCTCTGGGATCAGGCTGCTTGCCATACATGGGTTTGGGTTTTGGAGACTGCCTGGCATGAGTGGCTTTTCCTCACATTCTCAAGTATAGTAAGAACACCCCGCTCTTATGACAACCTCAGAAGGTGGGGGTTGTGCTGGGTCATGTTTCACAGACAGAGGAGCAAGGCTCAGCGGCTAGACAATGCATATGGGAGGCAGAGTGGGGAGCAGTTCCTTGGTTGCCTAGTGGCAGTTTATGTTTCTAGGGTATATTAGGATGGTAACTCCAAGGGAGATCACTAAGGCTGGGTAACATGCCCAAGAGTACTAGACCAGGGGTGCCCAGAGCCCCAGTCTACCCCTGCATCGCTCCTCCAGGGGTCTTCTTCCTCAGAAGTGGGTGGTCAGTAGTTGTTGTTGGCCCCAGCCCTGGGGATCCTGAGGCTGTGCAGCCCTTCTATGTGCCCTCACCTTGAAGGAGAACTCGAGTCTGACCAGGAACGGGAAATTGACAGCTTGTAGAATGCGTTTCTCATTCAAGGTGTGCTCTATCTGTTTCAGCTTCACCACCTGTGGGGCAGTGGAGAAAAGGGGTGTGAGAAGCGCTTCATTCCCAGACTGGATCAGATCTAGGGGTATGGATGGGACCGTTCCTTCAGCCAGAAATGACTGGGTGCATGTGGTCGAGCTGAATGTTGGGAGCTGAGGATACAGTAAGGAAGAGGCCAGAGGCTGTGGGTCCTTGCATCAAATACAGATCAGAGAGAGAACTTGTATCATGGTGTCTTGTGGTCTATAGGAATCAGAGCTGGAGAGGGGAAGTGTGGGGACTGTAGATGCCCAGACCAGGTACCTGGCAGTTTGGAGTGGGGGAAACCAGAGGAGTCTGCCTAGAGGAGGAAGGGACTCAGCTGATACCAGAGGCAGACCCCAAAAGGCATCAGGCTTAGAAATAAGCTTCTCTTTCTCTAGGCCAGCATCTTTTTATCTTCTGTGGTACTGGGATGGAACCCAGGACCTTGTATATGCTAGGCAAGGTCTCTATGACTGAGTCATACCCCCTCCTTAAGTTTTTAAGGAACTTAAAAAAAAACCCTGTATTTGGGGACTGGATAGATGGCTCAGCAGTTAAGGTTTTGCATAGGGCTAGGCATGGTGGCATGCATCTTTAATCCTAGGAGGCAGAGGCAGGTGGACCTCTGTGAGATTGAGGCCAGCCTGGTCTACATAGTGAGTTTCAGATCACCTGGGACTACAGAGAGACCCTGTCTCCTGGAGAAAAAAAAAAAAAAGATTTTGCATAGGACCTGAGTTTGGTTCCTAACACATACAATAGATGGCTCATGACCACCTGTAACTCCTGCTCCAGGGAGCTAATGCCTTGGACCTCTATGGACACTTGCACTCACATACACACATACATGTGATTAAAAATGATAAAAATAAAAATTATATATATTTACGTGCATGGTGTGTATATGTGTGCATGGGATGTGTGTGTGTGTGTGCGCGCATGTGTGCACGCGTGCGTGGGGTATGTGTGCATGGTATGTGAGTACATAGGGGTATGGGTGCAGAGGTGTATGTGCATGCCATAATGTGTACGTGGACGTCAGAGGACAATTTTCAGGAGTCGGTTCTCTTCTTTACCATGTGGGTCCTGGGGACGAAACTCAGGTTGTCAGGCTTTGGCAGCAGGCGGCTTTGGCAGCAGGCACCTTTGGCAGCAGGTACCTTTGGCAGCAGGCACCTTTGGCCTCTGAACCATCTGTTCTGGCCCCTTCCTGATACTTTCAAGCACATTTGGAGCAACTGTGGTATGCAAGTCTTTTTCAGCTTTACTTTTTCTTGCTTTTCCATGGACAATTAACCCTGGAGATGTAAGTGTGAAACGAACCAGGTATAGTAGTACCCTTTCCATAAACTTGGGAGACTGAGGCAGGAGGCTCTGGAGTTCAAGAATAGCTTTGACTACATAGAGAGACCAGCCTGACCGACATAATACCCTGTCTCAAAACAAACACACAACCCCAAAGTAATATATTAGTGGATTCCAAAAATACTTAATATAAAAGAAAAACATCACAAAATGTCTCACTAGCTTTGGTGTTGCAGGCCTGTAATTCCAGCACTCAGAAGACTGAACCAGGAGGATCTTAAGTTTGAGGGAAACCCCATACATCAAGATCTTCTTTCAAAAACAAAACATAGGACTGGTGAGATGGCTCAGGGTAAAGGTACTTACCTCCAAGCCTGATGACCTGAGTTTAGTCCCTGGAACCCACAGGGTGGAAGGAAAGAACCAACTCCCAAAAGTTGTCCTCTGACCTTCATACTTGCATAGTGACTCACAGCCCTCATCCACCCACACACATGCATACAATCACACACACACACACACACACACACACACACACACACACACTAAAAAGTTTTAACTTTTTAATATTTTATGTGTATGTGTGTATTGCCTGCATGTAGGTAAGTGCACCCGTGTCATGCAGTGATGTCCTTGGAGGTCAGAAGAGGCTGTCGGATCCTCTGGGACTGGAGTTATGGACAGTCGTTAGCTGCCATGTGGATGCTTGGATTCAAACCCAGGTCTTCTGTAAGAATAGTCAGTGTTCTTAACCACTGAGCCATCTCTCCAGCCCCAATAAAAAGTTTTAAATATAATAAAAATCCAGGCTGGATGTGATTGTGCATGCCTGTAAATCCCAGTATGCTGGGGACTGGAGGCTCAGGATTCAAGGCTATCCTTGGCTACATAGAGTTCAAAGCCAGACTTTTATAGATAAACAGCTGGACATGATGATGCATGTCTTTAGCCCCAGCACTCAAGAGGCAGAGGCAGGTGGATCTCTTTGAGTTCGAGGTCAGCTTGGTCTACATAATGAGTTCTAGGCCAGCCAGGGCTACAAAGTGAGACCCTGTCTTAAACAAAACAATAATAACAACAAAAAAAAAAACCAAACCCAAACTGGGGCTGGAGAAATGGCTCAGTGGTTAAAGAGCACTAGTTGCTCTTCCAGAGGACCTGGGTTCAATTTTCAGCACTCACATGGCGGCTAACAACCATTGTAACTCTAGTTCCAGGGGATACGATGCCCTCTTTTGGCCTCCTTGGGCACTGCATGACACCGGTGTACTTACATATATGCAGGTAATACACTCATACACATAAAATAAAAATAATAAAATATTAAAAAAACTAAACTAACACACCTTTTACATACATTGGCAGCATAGAAATGACTACTGTAGATTCACTGACTTAATTTTAAAACATGACTAAAATAAATCTCAGGGGCTGGAGACATAGCTCAGGGGTAGAGCATTTGCCTAGTATGTGAGAAGCCCTGGGTTTAACTCCAGTACCACATACACACAAAAATAAAGTAAAAAAGAATTTCTGTGACTTGTGTTTCCCTTGAACAGTGCCCACTCTATAGCAGTACCTGGCATCAGATAGGTTGTCAAAAATTTACAGACGGCCAGGCGTGGTGGTGCATGCCTTTAGTCCTAGCACTAGGGAGGCAGAGGCAGGCAAATCTCTGTGAGTTTGAGGCCAGCTGGGGCTACAAGGAGACCCTGTCTCAAAAAGACAAAAAAAAAATTTACAGAGGGGTTGAGGAGATGGCTCAGTCAATGAAGTGCCTGCCATAAAAAAACATGAAGACCTAAGTTCAGAGCCCTGCCACCCATTTAATGGCTGGATGTGGTAGCTCACATCCGTAACTCCAGCTCTAGTAGGGTGGAGACAGGTGACTCCCTGGGGCTTGTTAGCCAGTCAACATAGCCAAATGGTGAGCTCCAGGTTCACTAAAGGCACTGTATCCAAAAATAAGGTGAACAGTCACTAAAGAAGATACCCAGTATCCATCTCTGGCCTGCACATGCATGTGTCTCACTCACACACACACACACACACACACACACACACGTGCGTGCGCGTGAACCAGCATGCATATGTGCACATAATCTTTATGAAATATTGGGTATGGTGGCACAAGCATGACATCCCAGCACTCTAGAAGCTGAGGCAAGGGGATCTCGTTGGAGGCCAGCCTGGGTTATACAGTGAGATCTCATGTAGCCCAGGCTGGCCTTGAACTTGCTATGTAGTTAAGGATGCTGGATTCCTGATCCTCCTACCTACACTGCTACTTCTGAGTGCTGGGACTGTAGGGCAGGCAAGCGCTACCACATCCAGCTTCCAGACAAATCTGTGTGAGTGCATGCATTCATGTGTGGGCACATTGTACACATGCTTGTAAAGGCCAGAGCTAACATGGAGGATGTCTTCTTCAGTTACTCCCCATCTCACTTTAAAAAGTCTTGGGTAGGGACTGGAGAGATGGCTCAGCAGTTAAGAGTGCTGGCTGCTCTTCAGAGGACCCGGGTTCAATTCCCAGCACCCACATGGCAGTTAACAACCATCTATAACTCTAGTTCCAAGGGATTCGATGGCCTCTTCTGTCTCCCATGGGCATTGCACAACACAGGTGCACATACATGCAGGCAAAACACTTATACACATAAAATAAAAATAAAATTAAAAAAAAATCCTGTGTTGGGGCTGGAGAGATGGCTCAGCAGTCAAGAGCACTAACTGATCTTGCAGAGGACCCAGGTTCAATTCCCAGCACCCACAAGGCAGCTAACAGCCACACATAAAATAAAAAGAAATAAATCAAAAAAATTTTTTTAAATCTTCTATTTTTATGTACTGGTGTGCACACCATGGCATGTGTGGAGCTCAGAGGACAACCCCAGGTATGGGTTTTACTTTCCACTTTGTGGGTAGAATATGTTGTTCAAGGCTGCGAACGCCATACTGGCTGGCCTTCAAGCTTCCAGGGATCCTCTGCCCCCCACCTCACAGCAGGAGCACTGAGGTTCCAGACAGCTACTACTGTGTCCAGTTTTATGTGGGCTCTACAGATTCAAACTTAGGTCCTGTTTGTTTGAGAAGTGCTTTATCCAATGAGCCATTTCCTCAGCCCTCTAATTCATTGAAATATAATTTTGTTACATTTATTTATTGTGTATGGGGTATTGTGCTGGATAGCTTTAGTGTCAACTTGACACACCTGGGTTGAGGGAGCCGCAATTAGGGAACTAACTCCATTGGACTGGCCTGTGGCCATGTCTGAGGGGCATCTTCTTGATTGTTGAGTGATGTGGGAGGGCCCAGCCCACTGTGGGTAGTGCCACCCCTGGGCAGGTGGCCCTGTGTTGGATAAGAGAGCAGGCTGAGTAGGGGCCAGGGGAGCAAGCCAGTAAGCAGTGTTCCTCCATGTCCTGTGCTTCAGCTCCTGCCTCCAGGTTCCTGTCCTGAGTTCCTACCTTGGGCTCCCTGATGAACTGTGACCCGGGAGATACAAGATAAATAAACCCTTTCCTCCCCAAGTTGGTAGTGGTCACAGTGTTTTGTCACAGCAATGAAGAACAAACTAAGATAGGTATGTATGCCATGGTGAATGTGTGGAGGTCACAGGACATTTGATCCATAAGGTCAGAGGACAACTTACAGGAGTTGGTTCTCTCTACCACGTGGGTTCTTGGCTTGAACTCAGGTTGTCAGGCTTGGTGGCAAATGCCTTTACTGGCTGAGCAATCTCTCTAGCCCCATTGCTACCTAATTTTTTGAGACAGGGTCTCTCACTGAACCTGGAGTTTGCCAACTCTGCTATGTTCACTGGCCACCAAGTCCTAGGGATTTGTTTCCATTTCCTTACTGTTGGGGTTACGGGTATGTGCCACCACACCTGGAGATCTCAATGTAGACCCTTACACTTGCATGCAAGACAAGTACTCTATGGACTGAGCCCTCTCTCTAGCCCCAGAACAAAATCTCTACGGAAGGAACAGCCACATAAATCCTAGTTTCTCTATACAGTTGGGTAGCTGACCTTGTGACACTGGTGGCTTGTCTGAGGGGTTTGCTTTGTGGGGTGGCACAGAGCCCTTCTCATCCTTGGGTCTGGTACACAGTGGAGAATCAGGGACTATCCTGTGGGTGAGAACTCACAGGGATTCCAGAATACCCACAACCACAGATAGCAAAGTCCACAGATGCTAACATGGGGTATAAAATGCTGTTGCACTTGCATATAACCCGTGAAGGCCTCCTTTTTTTTTTTTTTTTTTTGCAGGGGTGGTGATGAAACTCAAGGCTTTGAGCACACTAGGCAGGTACTTTGCCATTGAACAGCAGCCCAGTGGTGATTAGTTACACCATCTCTAGATTACTTAGAATGCCTAACAAGACATCCATGCATCACTATACTCATATGGATTCAGTATAGTATTTTTGTGTGTGTGTGTGTGACAGGGTCTCCCTGTAGCCCCAGCTGACCTGGAACTCACTATGTAGACCAGGCTGGACTTGGTCCCACAGACATCCACCTCATGCCTACCAAATCCACATAAATCCTAGTTTCTCTATACAGTTGGGTAGCTGACCTTGTGACACTGGTGGCTTGTCTGAGGGGTTTGCTTTGTGGGGTGGCACAGAGCCCTTCTCATCCTTGGGTCTGGTACACAGTGGAGAATCAGGGACTATCCTGTGGGTGAGAACTCACAGGGATTCCAGAATACCCACAACCACAGATAGCAAAGTCCACAGATGCTAACATGGGGTATAAAATGCTGTTGCACTTGCATATAACCCGTGAAGGCCTCCTTTTTTTTTTTTTTTTTCAGGGGTGGTGATGAAACTCAAGGCTTTGAGCACACTAGGCAGGTACTTTGCCATTGAACAGCAGCCCAGTGGTGATTAGTTACACCATCTCTAGATTACTTAGAATGCCTAACAAGACATCCATGCATCACTATACTCATATGGATTCAGTATAGTATTTTTGTGTGTGTGTGTGTGACAGGGTCTCCCTGTAGCCCCAGCTGTCCTGGAACTCACTATGTAGACCAGGCCCGCCTTGAACTCACAGAGATCCGCCTGCCTCTGCCTCCCAAGTGCCGGGATTAAAGGCGTGCACCACCATGCCCAGCTCAGTAAGTATTTTACATGGGGCAAATTCCAACTGCTATTGGGAACTTGCTAAAATGGGGTGGAGGGCATATTTCTAATATATGATTGGTTCAATCTGTGCACCTGTGGACCCCACAAAGCTGGTGTGGTGAGTGGTGATGGGTGGTAAAGTAGTATGTAGTGTGGATGGTGGGCTCGGTGTAGCCATGGGTGGACAGGGCTGGTGGGGCTGGGTGGCCAGTCTTCTTACCTTCTGTTTATCCAGGATCTTCATGGCATAGTGGTTCCCTGTCTCCTTGTGTTTCACAAGCATCACCCGCCCAAAGGAGCCAGTACCAAGGGTCTTGATTCGATCAAACTGATCCAACTGGGCTGTATTCTGCAAGGTGGAAGGGTGGGGTGATGGTCAGGAGCACCTCCTCCCTGCAGCCTCCTGGGTGTCCCCTGTGTCACCAGCAGAGGGGGCCCTGGGAAGCAGTGGAGCTAGGTGGATGAAGATGGGACAGGAAAGGAAGATGGCCCAGGGACATTCCCCTAGTAGGGCGGCAGGGGCCAAATCTGGCCCTGGCTTGGGGCCCAGGAGCTGCTGGCAGCTGCATGGGGGGCAGGGGCTGCCAGGTGCAAGGGTGATGTGGGGTGGGGACCTGGCATGTTGGGAGAAAATGGGGCAGGGTTGTGTGGGGCACACAGTAACAGCGGGCTGTCCCCAGGCACTGCTCAGTCCAGGGGCTTACCTGAGCTGGGAGCTTATCTGAGTAGGGAAAGGCTTACCTGAGCAGGACTCTCCCATTTTTTCAGAAAATCTTCCTTGGCTTTGGCTAGGAACTCTTTCACTGAAGGAGAGAGGGGAGGGTTAAGTGGAGATGCCCAACTTCAGAGCAAAATCCCATGAAGGAAGGAGATACCTACTTTCTCTACTCTGGTAGAAAGTAGGGCACAGCCACTTCAATCTTTCACCAGTGTCTTTGGGGGACTCTGGAGGCAACTTGGGGGATCTTGATTGGGCTGGGCCCTGGGTATCCTGTTAACTACAGAGGTAGGGCCCAGACTTGGGTAATTCCAAAATAGGGCGCATGGGGACTCAGGGCTTGTTCCCAAAGGGACAGAAAGGCATGCAGGCCAGCCCACCCCACTCTCCCCAGCGCTGACAGACATTCCGGGCCAGGGCCACACCAGCTGAGGTATTTATAGCCTCAATCTGGCCGCTCCTCCAGCCCCTTCTCTGGGAAGGCCTGGAGGGCTGGTATAACAGGCGCCCTTGGGGGGCTCAGCTGTCACCTTGGCCCCCAGCTGGCTCTGTGCCTGGCTTTGCTGGTGGCAAAACCCTCACTCCAGAGCTCTTTCACTGGACACACTGCCTGAGTCAAACCCCTCCTTGGCACCTGCAGCACCCTATGGCCAACATCCTATTCCCCAATGCAGAAGCAGTCTCTGCAGGCTAGCTGAGGCACCCATATTGTCCACACTGTTTGTTGTGTTTGACAATCTCCCTTTCATTTGTTCTCCCCTTTAACAGCCCAGGAAATTGAGGTCTAAAGATGGTCGCTGTTGTGCATGGCCACTGAGAGGCAGCCCAGGGAAGCAGTTTGGGCATAGGACTCTGGGATAAGAGTTCAGACTTTGTGTGGACCCTGATGGGCTATGTCTTTGGACAACTAACCTCAGTTCTCTGGGCCTCAGTTTTCCTCAGGTGCAAATGGGAATAGTAAAAGCAATAATAGTCTTGTAGGGTGATGGTGAGGAGTTGGGAATTCTACCTTGGCAGAGGCTGGACAGTGGCTTGGCACTGGGTTCATGCCAGAGAAAAGCCAGCTATTCTGTCATTTTTTTGGAGACAGTCTGTAGTCCAGGGTGACCTAGAACTCACTATGTAGCCCAGGCTGGCCTCTAACTCTAACTCAGAGTGATCTTCCTGCCTCAGGTTCCCAAGGATTGAGATTATAGGTATGAGCCACACCATACCCACACATTTCAAAATATATTTTTTAAATTTAGGTTTAAAGTTTTAGATTTATTTTTAAATGGAGGTACACTAAAATCTAAGTCTTTTTTCTTTTCTTTTTTTTTGGTCTTTAAAAAAAAATTTTTTTTTTTTGGTCTTTTTGAGGTAGGGTCTCCCTGTAGCCTCAGCTGGCCTAGAGCTTGCTATGTAGACCAGGCTGGCCTTGAACTCACACAGATCAACCTGCCTCTGTTTCCTGGGTGCCAGGATCAAAGGTGTGTGCCACCTGGCTCTTTTTATTTTTATTTTATTTTTTAAAATATTTTATTTTATTTTATGTGTATGTGTGTATTGACTGCATGTAGGTAAGTGCCCCTGTGTTGTGCAATGCCCACGGAAGACAGAAGAGGCTGTCGGATCCCCTGGAACTGGAGTTACGGACAGCTGTTAGCTGCCATGTGAGTGCTGGGATTTGAACCCAGGTCTTCTGCAAGAACAGTGTTCTTAACTGCTGGGCCATCTCTCCAGCCCCTCTTTTTTTTATTTTTTGAGACAAGGTCTTGCTATATAGCCCAGGCTGGCCTGGAGCCTGGCAATCCTCTTGCCTCTGGCTCCTGAATGCTAAAATGACAGGTGTCCTGCCCTCATGCTTGGCCTGACTGCTCAAATCTCAACTTCATGGCCCTATGGATTCTGAGACCACAGACTTGTCTTTGTTACCACTGTGCAAGGCTCCCCATAAGGCAGCCTTAAGGTTTTTGATACCTAATTGCCAGGCCAGAGCTGTTGTTCATGTCCCTGAGCCCCTGCCTATGAGAAGAGCAGCTGGTTCTGCATAGGGTAGCCAGGTGGGCCCATGGGCAGAGCTGGCTTCACGCTCATGTTCCCAAAGGATGCCACCCCAAGGGGCCCTGCATACTCCCACTTTGACCTTGCTGGTCCTCTGCCTAGGGGGAATCCCACACAGCTTTGTGAGCAGCTCCTATTCCCCAACTATCTCCAAGCCTCTCCTGTGCTGTCAAAGCAGCATTCAGAGGCAAGAGGCCTTCGTGGGAATGGAACTGTACTGGTAGAGGAGGGACCATGGGAAGGCCTAGCAAAGAGTGGCCTAGCTGAGAGTGAGCCAGCGAATGGCTAGTTGTAGGTACTGGCTGGGTCATAGACTGGCCAAGAGACAGCTCTGAGCCTGGGCACCAGTGAGTGGTCAAAGCATCCACTAACCATGTTTCTGACACCTAATGCCTTCCTTGAAAGAATCCAAACCATTACCATGCTGTGTTCTGGACTGGAAAGGGGGGGCGGTGACTGAGGTACTCTATTGGAACTCTCTCTTCCCCACCACAAAAAGGTGGAGAGGGGTCAGTGAGATGGGTCAGTGGGTAAAGGCACTCGATGACCTCAGTTTGATCCCCAGGATGCACAAAATGGAAGGAGAGAACTGACTACTGCAATTGCCCTCTGACCTCTATACACACCCTATGGCATGTACCCTTCCCGCACTTACACTAAACAAATGAATAATAAACAAGCTTTTTTTTTTTTTTTTGGCCTTTTTGACACAGGGTCTCCCTGTAGCCCCAGCTGTCCTGGAACTCACTATGTAGACCAGGCTGGCCTTGAATTCACAGAGATCCGCCTGCCTCTGCGTGCTGGGATTAAAGGCGTGCGCCACCACGCCCGGCTAAACAAGTTTTTTTAAATGTAGAAAAGGAGCAAAGCCAAGGAGGAGGCAGGACCTGCAACCCCCACTCTCAGAAGCCTATCCTGATCCCTCCCCCACTCAATAGGCCAGTCTGCCAGTGCCCCAACCTCCTAATGCCTCCCAGAGGAGGGACACAGGCTGCCTCCCACTGGTGCCACTGTGGCCTTGGGGACAGGGCATGGGGGGACAATGCCTGGAGGAGCAGGCTGGGAGTAGTGTCACAGACTTATAATCTCAAAGGCTGAGGCAGGATTTTGAGTTCAAGGGCAGTCTCAGTTATATACTGAGACCCCATATTGAAAGAATAAGGGGCTGGAGCTCAGTAGTTGAGGACTTGCCCAGCATGCACAAAGCCCTAGGTTGTGCCCCTAGCAACACAAAAGAATAATTAAGCTGAGTTCAGTATAATCCCAGAATTTGCAGACTGCGACTGGAGGATCTCAAATTCAAGACCAGTCTCTCCAAAAATAAAAAGCAAGTGGGGGACACACCTCAACCAAGAGCCCCCACACTCACCTGCACCCTAATCTCTCAGCCTGTCGAATATGGCATGGGGGTTGGGTAACATGGGGCGAGCTGGGGCCCATCTGTTCCCAATCAGGGCTCAGGGTGCTGGCTGGCGCAGGTAACCCAGGAAACGGAGAGCCAGGTGAACCCAGAGGAGCAGCTGCAGCCACAGCTGGAAGATGACATCGGGGCCCTCACCCTGGCTCTTTTCTGACCCCAGATCCATCCCACGCTGCCCAGGGCTTTCCCTGGAATCTTCTCCTTGCTGGGGTAACCAGTGCCTCTGAAGAACAGCTTCCCCTGCTAAGATCTGAGCTTGGGGGAGGAGCTGGTTGCCACGGAAGCATTTAAAGGTACTTGTTCTGGGCTGGCCAAGGTCTGCAGACCTTGGCATGGAGAAGTGGGAAGATTCTCCAGGGGGTGTTCCTCTGGTTGGCCTGTGTGCCCCAGGGTGGGGTGCTAAAGCTAACTTCCTCTTCCAGGGACATCCATGGACCCAGGATGCCAGGCTCTGTTTTTCCCAGTGGTGCAAACTGCCTCAAGACCATGCTCCTGGGACTCTACTTACTGAGCAGAGGGGAAGGAGTTAAAGCTTAGGCTCAGGCAACAGGCACAGACTCCCAGAGGGTTAGAGAAGCCCCAGAGCTTGTTAGTTGAAAGAAGGGCTGGAGAGGAAGGCCAGGGTTGGGGGGCAGTGACAGGAGCCACCTTATCTCCTCTTCTGAGTCTCTCAACATGGAGCTCCCTAGTCCTACCCCGAGAGACATGGGCACATCTGGTTCTCTGTCTTATTCCTCTGCGGGGGCAGAGAAGGGAACAGTGTCCTGGGATGTCCTTGGCCTCTGTCAGACCTTGCCCTGTGCTTGGCTCTGCTTTCAGCCATGAAAGTCCAAACCGGAAATGAGTGGCTGAACCCAAGGGTGGGGGAGGGGAAGGAAACCTTGACCATCTCTTCTTCCTTCTTTCTAGATTTCCCAAAAGAAGCTGAAGCTCTGTGGCAGCCTTCCTGCTGCTGCCCAGCACCTATGGTCCCCTGCTGGCCACAGGAAGTAGCTGAGGGAGGTAGCCCAGCAATTGCTGGCCTATGGAACCTGCAGCCCTGTTGACCTCTCCCATTTGGGAGGGGGTGTCCCTGGCCTCCACTCTCGTCTGGATTTGATTTGCTCTCAAATAAAACTCCAGACACTTCTAAGAAAGCCAGCACCACAGCAAGACCACAGCAAGAAATTTAGAAATTCACCTTGGATTCAATACAGGGTCACAGCAGCAGGGTGCCAAGCTGGCAAAGGACTATCTTCGGAGAACCTACCCTTAGGATTTCATCTCCTGAGTAGTCTCAGACCCTCTCTCTGCCCTTCAAAACCTGGGGGTATTGGGGAAGGAATGCTTAGCCTGGACTGGGACCCCTAATCCAGGTAGGCTGATCATTTCTGGCCAAGAGCCCTTGCTCTGGGCTATACCACAACCTCAGTTTGAGAGGGACCCCAACACTGAACTGGTCCAATTCCCATTTTGAGTTGGACTCCCAATTCCAGATCCTCTCAGTCTGTGCTTAGCTCCAACACCTGGGGTCCCTCTTTCTCAGCTAGGATTCAGGGTGCAAAGCTGGACCATCCCCAGGTCTAAACTGGACCAATCTTCATTCTGGGTTGAACCTCAACATTGGGCTGAACCACTCTGTGCCCCTGGATGACCTGGAGGCTCACTCCAAGTAGCCCATCTGCCTTGGTCTGAACTGGGCCATTCACCCCCCTGCTCTTCTTCCCCAGGCCCCATAGCCCAGGGCTTTAGGGGGTAATTTCCAAGGCCAGCCAGGGATCCACAGACTCTCCCTCTCCACCTGTTCCCCCCAAACTCCTACTGCAGCCCCTCCCTAACTTGAGGGGCAGAGTGTGCCTGGGAAGTTGCTATAGCAACAGGGCGCAGCCTCACCATCGTTGGAGCTGGAAGCCATCACTCAGTCTTTCTCAGGGCACTAGCACTATGGTGGCTGGAAAGGCTCATGAGACCTGTTGCACCAGCTTGGCTGTCCGTCCTCAGGGCCCTGCCTGTAGAGGGAGCCAGGGAGTTGTGGGGTGGGAACAGGAAGAGATACTCAACCTACAGGCTAGTGGGTGCTATGGAAGGCCAAATAGAACCTTTCAAAATTCTGTTGGCCTGACTGAGCAAAAGGCAAAGCTGCTTGGGAGGACCCTCTTGAGCACCCATCCAACTGCCAATGCATAGCAAGGGTTTGACCCTCATTGACTCTCTATAGGACGGTTAGAGGGCAACAGTTCTTCCAGCGACCTCCTAGGGATGCCTCTCCCTTGTGTCTGGATCTGCTTATCTTGGGGCATCTAAGGGGCTCCCTCTTACCAGCCCTACCACTTCCCCTGTGGGCATTCAACTCCCAGGGGTGCCTCTGGACAGTGCCAGCCAAGACCTGAGCCCCACTTGGCTGCTGGTGCTGGGAACCTTCTGGGGCTGCCTCCTGCTCTCAGTTCCTCCAGCTTGGCCGAAGCCTGGAGTTTGATCTATTCCCTCCATCCTTTCAGCTTCTCACCTTGGTCCCTAATATCTTTGCCATCTTAGGGTATAGACTCCCCATATCTTACTCCATCTTGGGCTGATTCTAGATCCTTAGCTAAGGAGGCAGCAAACCTGTCCCACCCGGGCACTGAGATGACAGTGCAGGGGGCTGCAGAATGGTACCTAGGAAGGCTCGGGCATCTTCCTGACTCCAGTGGGGAGAATATGTGGAGATGAAATGCAGGTGCCCCCTGCAGGCTGGCATGGCTATTGCCCCCTCTTGGTTACCAGAGAGTAAAGCCAGCCTCACTCCAGCCTCTAAGAATCAACTTCCAAGCAGCAGGACCTCCTTCCTTATCTTATTCCCCTGTGGGGAATCTTCAAAGACTGGAAGTCTCCACAGAACATAAAATTAATGTGGGGATGTTTCAGTATCTAGACACATTTTTGAAATGTGGTACTGAGGGTTGGGTCTACAGCCTTGCACAAGGTAAGCAAGTGCTGTGTGACTGAGCTAGCTGTATCTCCAGTTCTTTTTTTACTTTTTGAGATAAGGTCTCATTAAGTTGACCAGGCTGGCTTAGAATTCATGATCCTCTTGCCTCAGCCTCCCAAATAGACTTCAGGACATCTGAGCAAAAAAGTGAGGTTTTTTTTTGCTTTGCTTTTTGAGCCGGTTTCCTGTAGCCCCAGGTGGCCAGGATTTCAGAGATCCACCTGCTTCTGCCTCCTAAGTGCTTGGGATTAAAGGCCGGCACCACCATGCCCAGCTGTATTTATTTATTTATTTATTTATTTATTTTATTTATTTATTTATTTAGAGGCTGTCTCTTCCCATGTAGCCCAGGTTGGCCTCAAACTTAAGGTTCTTCTGCCTCACAGCCTCTCTCATGCTTGTTAAAGGTATGGGCTACTGTACCTGTTTTATTTACTTTTAATTTTCTTTACATTATTGTGTGTGTACTTGTGCCCATGCTACAGTATTCGTGTGCAAGTCAGAGGACAACTTGCTGTAGTCAGTTCTCTCCTTCCACCAAGTGGGTCCTGGGGAGCCAGCTCAGGTTGTCAGGCTTAGCAGCAATCACCTTTGGCCACTGAGTCATTGCAATGGCCCCAGTTTTATTTATATTTTGGTGCAGGGTCTTGCTCTGTTACCTTGAACTATTGGGCTCTGCCTCTGTGTCGTCATCTGTGTTAAACTCTGGTGGTTCATTCAGACAAAATAACCATAGTAGGTATGTCTATGGAGACAGTTTAGCCTGGCCTTCCTGGATGCTGGATAAGCAGTGCCTGGAGTTCATCCTGATGGTTCACTCCTGAGTGGCTGGCTCTTGAGGCGAGAATTAGTAGTTCCTTCCAGAGTCTGAGTTTTTTCTTGGGATACTTCTCCCTCTGCAGGTCTTAGTCCCCACCACCTGTGTTTGATATGCTTAAAGGTTTTTCAGCACTATGTCATCTCCCCAACTTTCAACTGAGCTACTGCAATGTATAGCTGGCTGCCTGCACCTTCCTCCTCCTGGTGTGCCGCTTCACCTACTTGTGGCTGCCTCCCCACCTCCCAGCCTAGGCCCCTCTAAGCTCATGCCAAAGACCTTTATTGGGCACTACCCCACCTGTTCCTCTCTCATCAAGCACTCAACTACAACCACTTGCCTCCAGTCCCCCACCCACTGGTGACATGTCAGGCCTCTTCAAGGCTGCTCTGCTGGGCTGAGCTCTGCTGTTTGAATTAGGGTGAGCAAAAAGTTCCTGGGCTTTGGTGGCATTCTGGGAACTGAGACACTGAGAAGGGCAGAGCTGGTCATAGCCTCCCTTTATAGGAATTCTGGCTATTTCTCGGTGACTGGAAGGGTCTCTTAGCTGAGGCCCAGCGTGATACCACTTTTAAGAGTTTGAGGTATCTGGGACAGGGCACAAAGCCCTTTCTGAAGGTATTTCATATACAGAATCAGTTTCTCTCCCTAGCTGGTAAAGTCCAGCATGTTTAGGGGTAGGAGGTAAAACAAGCCTTCCTCTGAGTGAGCCCTGGGTACTTACAGAATTCATTTGTTGTACGCAAACTAAATCATTTGCTGTCATCTATTGCATCCCCTTACCCGGGAAACTCCTTTTTCTGACTATCCCCGTTCAAGTCGAATGAGCCCTAATTAACCCAGGACTTCACCCTCAGCCAGGAGCCAGGGGCAGTGAAGCAGTCCTGAGGACTGGGTGAATGACAGAACCGCAGTTGTAAAATGACCATTTATTGAGGAGCCCTCCAAGGAGCCCAGAGCTCACTGCAGACCAGGAGACTGGAGGGTGCTCAGCCACTGTCCCCCACCCACAACCCAAGAAAGAGGACAGACGCAATGAATCTCAGCGAGAGAGACCAGCTCGAACTTGGCTTTGGAAGCACGGAAGCAGTTTTCTAGGTTCATAAACAGCCTGCTACCCTAGCCAGGGCCAGACGCTTGCTTGGATGACAGAGTGATAGGATGAGAGGGGCAGAGGGACCCAGAAAGATCTTATCCCCCATGCCAAGTGACACAGAAGGGGAAAACAATTCTGGAGGTGGCTCTCGGAAATGCTCAGGGGGTGCAGGGGAGGCTGGGAGGTGGGGGCCACGAGAAGGTGAAGAGGGGAAGGGCAGGAGAAAGATGGCGGGGGGCCGGAGGGGGAGGGGTGTGGTCACCAAGTGACCAAGGTGTCTGCGGGGTGGGTGGACGGAGACCCCTCCACAGCACTCCCGGACTGGCAGGAGTTAGATCAGGGTCAGACATTTGGGCCCTGTGTAGGAGAGGTGAATGACGAAGTCGGGGGATTACAATCCGGGAGGGGGGGGCAGGAAAGGAAGGAGTGGGGTGGTGACAGGGCCCTATGTGGGGCCCCGGCGGTCATACGTGCAGTGGTTGGCAGTGACAGCTGGGTGGGGGGGCATGGCCTTTGCAGTGGGGGGCAGCCGGCCATAGGTGCGGGGCCTCTGCCAGGGGCTAGGGCGCCTCTGTGGGTGCTTGGGCCTCAGCTTGGACAAGCAGCGGGGCAGGAGCGCAGGCTGAGACGGATGGGGGGGCCTCCAGGGGGAGGGGCCATGCAGTGATGGACAGCGCGGGGGCAGGCAGCGCAGGGCCGAGATCAGTATGACAGCCCGGGCACTCACCGCTCTCCTGCTCGCTGCCCTTCTTGGCGGCGGCGGCGTTGCCCATCGCAGCGGCGGCGCGGAGCGCGCTGGGCGGCGGAGGCGGCGGCCCCTCGGGCTGGCTGCGCTTGCTGCTGCGCCGCGACCCCCGCCCAGCCCCTGCTTCCCGCGTCTCTCCGCGCCCGCCGGCCCGGGAACCTCAGCCCAAGTCCGCTGTCCGTGACGCCCCCGCAGTCCGCCGCTCATTGGTCCGATCTTCTCTGACTGACAGCCATGCGCCGCGTCCTATTGGTCTTCTGCAACCCTCCCGCTCCACCATAGGCTCCTGGCCCCGTGACGCGAGCCGTGGACGCCCGGCCACTCACCGGCCCGCGAGGCCTCAGCCGGGCGGGCGCATGGATCTGACTGGCCGAGCAGCCAGGTAGGGCCCGGGGCTCGCTCTGCAAGACCGCAGATTGGCGGAGGCGCGCGGCCAGGCCAGCCCCCCCCGCAGGAACGTTGAGTGTCAATCGCGGGGTGAGAAGGCTGGGCGGAGGCAGTCTGCGGCCCGGGCGGCCGGGCGGGGCAGCGGAGGCTGGCGGGTGGCCGCGCGGCGTTGCGAGGCCCAGGAGCGGCCCGGCTCTCCGGCCCCCTGAACGCCGCAGTACTCCGCCCCCGCCCCCGCCCAGTGCGGCAGCGGCCGCCGGCCAGCGGAGGTTGACGCCGCGGCCCAGCAGGCGCAGCCGCTGTCCACCTGCCAGCGGGGGAGGGGCCCTGCTCACCGCCGGTCAGAGGTCGCTGGGCGCCGATCGGAGTCGTTCGGAAGGCCGGGCGCTGGACATCAGTGGCCAGGCCAGTTTGGGGTCCGCTTGGATTTGCCCCCAGCTACAGCTAGAGACCCTGAAACAAGGGCGGGCTGGGAGGAGGCGCTCAGTGCCCACCTCTTTGCTGTGGGTTTCTGCTAAGTAGTATCAGTACACGACTTCCCATTCCTATCACGTAGGTACTATCATCACTCCCATGCTACAGAGGCACTGCCAGACTTTTTACCTAATCACTACCTGCCTGGGTACTGCCAGGGAAACCTGCCCTCTGGAAGTGCCCACTTAAAAATTTTATTTTTATGCAATGCTGAGGATTGCACGAAACGTCTGCCACCTGCTAAGCAACCATTGTACCACTAAGTGACACCCTCAGCCCAATGCACAGCCACACAGCCGGAACACTCAGTTTCCCAACTCTGCCGCTGCCATGAGGAACCTGAAGCACTAGGTTGATGTTTGGAATCCCACCCTGACACACTGAATTCTTCTACAAGTTCCTCCATCATTCTGCTACCTGGGGCAACCCACCCAAACACTCTAGGATAGACAATCATCACACCCCCTCCCCTCACAGTGGCCAGGTGCTGAGCCAAAACTCTGAATCTGAAGGGAAGTTGCCTCCCCCGTGATCTCCATGGGCTCACTGCTGTGCTTCCTAGTGCACAACCTGCCTCTAGCCCACAGCTGTTCCCGCCCCTTCCCAGATCAGCTGCAGTCCCCTGGCCCAAGAGTGGAGCTTCTTCCGTGGAGTTACATAGTAAAGCTAAGTGAAATTTAACAAAACTAGACTGCATATGCCCTTAGATCACAATTTTTCTCTATGCCCATGCGTCAAGGGCAGTCTGGGGGGGTGGGGGGATCACTGGTTATCATCTATCTGCAGAACAGCTAGTGTCAAGCTTGGACAACAAAAAACTGTCTCTGACCCTCTCAGCCTGGAAAGCAACTGTACAACTAGTTGAGACAGCAAAGGGAGATGGGCCAGCCACCCATGGGACAAGAGGATACCCAAGACAAAGGGTGAGGGTGACAAAGCTGCCTCAGCTACTAGAGACAAAAGCAGAAACAGGCAATCTAGATGAAGTGCTTTTTATTTTTAAACCAAACACTTTTAATATACAAACTGCAGTCCTAACAGTACCCATGGAGCAGCAGGGGACCAGGGTGCTAGGCAGGGCAGAGAAGGAAAGCTGTTAAGTTCAAGGAGCCAAATGCTTCCCTTGCCCTGGTGGCCTGTGAGAGCATGTGGTCACAGCAACCCTGATGACTCTATGGGGCCAGGCTGTGAGCAGTAGGCCTTTCAACATGCCTTCTACTCAAGAGACCCCCTCAGAAAGCCAGTCAGGAGAAGGTTGCTGTGACAGAGGCCCCTGCTATCCTTCCTCAGCTTAGGGAGCTCACCTTTGGGGAAGAGTTTTCTAGGGGTGGCTAGACTGGATGACTCACACCCTGGGAGGACAGCAGTAGTAGAGTCTGCTAACCAGGACTCCTAGCCTGGGAGCCTCAGGAGCCAAGGTGGGGAAGGAGTGACAGCCTCTGGCCAGAGCCCAGCCAGGTACCACCTAAGCTAGCCTTCAGGGTAGGTGGTGTACAGAGAGCTCTCACAGGAGCTGACAGCATAGGAGAGAAAACACCATCAGAAAGAAGGAACAGAAGTACCTGTTTCCTAGAGGCCCGAGTCCGAAGTGGGATGATCCTTTTGGACCTGGGGTAGAAGAGTCTAGGGCCCACTCTTTCCTTGGGGCCAACGCTGACAGGCTTGGAGGCAGCTCATGGCCTCAACGTCCTTGAGATAATCAAGCACAACCCCTTCAGATGTGCAGGGGGACTGGCCATGGTCCTGTAAGCCCAGCTGAATCCCCCATTCAGATGTAGTCCATGGAGTTCTCTGGGAGACCTGGGATACTGCTGGGGAGGCCCAGGCCTTTGATGGGAATGCAGCTAAGGGGAAGGCTACAGTCCAGGCTGGGGTCCAGGTTGGGGTCTTGGTTCTCTATGGCCTCCAGCCTGTCTGGGTTGTTGTCCCAGTTGATATGAAAGCGAGTCACCCGAGGGTTGGAGGCCAAGATGTTCCGCTGGAGCTGGAAAAATTGTCCATTCTTGTCATCATAAATATTCATTACTTCTATAGACTCTCTCAGACCCCACCTCGAGCCTAAGAGAGCAGACTGCTGATTTTGCCAGGGCCTTCCTAGTCCTGGTTCTGCTTGTTACTCACTACATAGATCAAACTTGTTATGATCCTCTTGCCTCTGCCTTTCAAGTGCTAGGATTACTAGAGTGAGCCATCACACCCCATCTGTTTAGCTTTTGGAGGCAGTCTCAATACATATATAGCCCAGGCTGGCTGGGACTCATGGTACTCCTGCCTCAGCATCCTGAGGGCTAGGATGCTGGGGTTACAGTGTACTCCACTGTGATTTTGTGAGGCATGCCTCAGAGAAGGAAAAGATGTTCACTGTCATAGCTCTAGCCCAACACGGCACAGATGGAGCACAGCTTGTAAACCTTCACAATTTGTAAACCTTTACAAGGGACCTTGGCTCCCATTTTCCCCAAAAGTAAAGGCACTGGCCTGTCTGAAGCAGGAAGTGCAGGGAACAGGCCCCACCTGAGAGAAGTCTGGCTTTGGTGGAGGGTTCTCCCGAAGCTCAGGGTTGGGGTACTCATTGTTGACGTAGTAGCCCACACGGATGAACTCTTGTCCGTGGTAGGTGCAGGTGATCAGGATCACAGTCACTCCCACAGCATCCGTCTCAGGGATGAGGGATGGGTTTGGGGCATCAGCCTGGGGAGACACATCCTGGGCCTTAACACAGCCAGTCCCCCCTCAATGTCATTAACAAAACCCCCCAAGGAACTTGTATTTCCTGAGCAGAAAGCATGTTCAATGCTCAAGGACTTTCAGTTAACTGGGATTAGACAGACCAATCACATAGCTGACTATGAAGTGGAAATTATGATTCCATGTGGCAGCATGCTTGCCCAGCAGGAATGGAACCCTGCCTTCCAACCTCAGCACCACAAAAATCAATTAATTTCAAAACTGGTAAACACGACCAGGAGACACAGGAGGAATGTGGTAAACTAGGGGAGTGGCCTTAAGATGAGACTGGACAGGTAGATGCCAGGCAATCCTGGGTTTATTGGGACAGTTAAGGGCTTGGGAAAGATCAATGTTTAGCAGGAGGTAAGATCTGAAAAGACTGGTAGCATGTGGAGGTGTGACAGAAGGGCTGCAGCAGAAGCAGGCAGGCCAGGCATAACTCACTCTACAGAGAGGCAGTGGTCTAGACCCAGCAGCAGAGGACAGTAGATTAGGACGTTTGGATCTGGATAGGAGCAGCTATGTTGGTGCAAGTTGAAACTCATCCAAATGAAAACTATGATGTTTCCAACCTGGGCACAGTAGCACACTCCTTTAATCCCAGCTCTTGGGAAGTAGAGGCAGGCAGATCTCTGTGAGTTTGAGGCCACCCTGGTCTACATAGGTAGAGTCCTAGATCAGCCAGGGCTACATAATGAGATCCTGTCTCAAAAAGCAAAAACAATAGAAAAACACAAAAAAACTATGATACGTCTAACAGTGACAGCAGAACATCTCCAGTATGGGGTCCTGTGTGACAGCTAGGTCATAAGCTCAGGAAACAGGTCCTGGCTTGTGCACAGGGGCTTAGTGAGTTTGGTAAGAGGATAATGTCGGGGGCTGGAGAGGTGGCTCAGCAGTTAAGAGCACGAGGTGGTTCAGCAGTTAAGAGCACTGACTGCTCTTGCAGAGGACCTGGGTTTGATTCCCAGCACCCAAATTGGGGCCACGAACTGTCCTTAACTCCAGTTCCAGAGAAATGTGAAGCCCTCTTCTGACCTCCTCGGAATTGCATGACACAGGTGCACTCACATACATGTAGGCAACACATTCGTACACATAAAATAAAAATAATAAAATATTAAAAAAAAAAAAAAGATAGTGTGCTGGATAGTGTCAGTTGTCAACTTGACTGGGGTGAGGGAACCTCAACTGGAGAATTTTCTCCATAGGACTGGCCTGTGGGCATGTACCAGCCCACTGTGGGTGGTACCATCCCTGGGCAAGTAGTCCTGGGTTATGCAAGAAAGTAGGCTGAGCACAGGCCAGAGGAGCAAGCATTCTTCCATGGTCTGTTTCAGTGACTGCCTCCAGGTTCCTGCCCTGACTTCCCTCAATGATGCACTGCCACTTGGAAGAGTAAAATGAAATAAGTCCTTTCCTTTCCAAGTTGGTTTTGGACAGAATGGTCTATTACAGCAATAGAAGGTTAACTAGAACAGACAGCTAGTTTGGTAACTGCAAAGGGAAGTAGGTGAATAGATAATGGATTTGAGTAGAGATGCCAATGCTTGCTAAGAACACGTGCTGCTGATGAGTCCAATCACAATGAACCGGAGGGCTATTCATTACTCACTGTGTTTTCAAATCCACCAACTCCTTACCTCTGGAACCCGAAAGTCAAAAAGTATATTTTTGTGATTATATACAGACACAGAGCAGAGAAAAACCTTGTGCTCAGGTTCCAACCTGAGGCCAAACTAGTGGTTACCTGTCCTTCTCAAGTCAGCTTTCATGTGGAGAACAAGGAGCCTTTTGGCTGCCTGTCTAGTGCCACTATCTGGGAGCTTCTTAGTGACAAGCTTGTTTCTATCTGCCAGAATGTGAACAGACTATTACATGCTCCTGCCACAATATTCTGCCTCCTTCTTGGCCTAGAAAGGAGCTAAGCAACCATGGACTGAACCCTCGGGAACATTTTCCTTGCTACATTGTCAACGATCTCACAGCAGAAGACACATTTAAGGTTTATATTCATTACTGCCTTTATCCGCCTCTTTGTTTTGTTTTTGTAGTATTTATTTATTTGTTTGTTTGTTTGGTCTTTTCGAGACAGGGTCTCCCTGTAGCCCCAGCTATCCTGGAACTCACTATGTAGACCAGGCTGGCCTTGAACTCACAGAGATCCGCCTGCCTTTGCCTCCCAAGTGCTGGAATTAAAGGTGTGTGCCACCACACCTGGCTGTATTAGTTATTTTTATGTGTCTAAGTGTTTTGCTTGCTTGTTATGTATGTAAGTACACCATGCATGTAATATCCACAGAGGCCAGAAGAGGGCATCAGACACACTGGAACTGGAGTTACAGAAGGTAGTAAGCCACCAGGTGGTGGCTAGGAACTGAACCCGGGTCCTCTTTAGCCAGGTCTTAACCACTGGGCAATCTCTCCAGACCCCTTGCCTTCTTGTTTTTTAACAAGGTTTTGCTATAAAGCCAGGCTGGCCTTGAACCCAAAGCAATCTTCCTGCCTCGGTCTCCCAAGTACTGAGATTATAGACATCTACTACATAGCCAGCTTCCACCTTTAATAGATACTAATTTTTCATTATACATGCAAAGGTTTCACTCACTCACTGATGTTAAATAATTTATTGTCATGTCTTAAAATGTAATTGATGAGTAAAAATTTACATCATAGAGGCTGGAGAGATGGCTCAGCACTTAATAGTACTGGCTGCTATTGCAGAGGACCCAGGTTCAATTCCCAGCACCCACAGCTAACAGCCCCAGTTCCAGAAGATCCAATGCCTTCTTTTAACCTCTATAGGCATTGCATGACACAGATGCACATACACGCATGCAGGCAATACACTCATACACATAAAATATAATAAAGATTTACATCATACAACAAAATAAATAAGACCCCAAGTACAGCGCTGAAGTCTGTCTGGTGAAATAGTCGATGGCAAGTACTGTGCTAGGTAGGCTTTGTTCAGATGTGGTTAGTGTTGCTAGTTGTGAGTTCATGTGGTATTTGAAATAGGTTTTGCTATGTAGCCCAGGCTAGTTCTAAGCATGCTGGGGTTACAGGTGTGATCTGCCACACCTAGCTCTGGCTGATGGAAAGATGACCCAAAACAAAACCAAATCCTAAATTCAGAAGGCATGATGGTACATGCCTTTAAATCCAGCACTCAGGTGGCAGAGGCAGGCAGGTGTCTATAAATTTGAAGCCAGCCAGGGCCACAGTGAGACTTTCTCTCAAAAGCAAACCAAGAAACCAAATATAAACCCTAACCCTAACCCTAGCCTGAGACAAGTCAAGGGCTAAGATGCATCTGTCTTACCTGAAAGATGAACATGTGCCTTCCTGCAGGAATGGGGCCTACCAGTACGGAGTCTAGGATTTGATCAAACTCCTCGCTCTCTGCTGAGCCCACGTAAATTATCTTCCACTCCAGGTCTGCAAGCACATGGCAGGGAGATTAAAGACTGATACAACTTAACAGCAAGAGAGCAGGGAAGGGTATTTTACTGTTTTGGGAAGATCCTGAATATTCAGGAATGTTCTGTGAGCTAGTGTTTGTAGGGCACTAGGCTCATGCACCACAATTTTGAACTAGGGCAGATATGAAGCTCTACTTCTGTAGGGCTATTTCTCCTGTTGGCCTAACTGGGCCAGGTGACCTTGACTCTGGCCCTGTGGGAAACTTGGGGCTCTCAGAGGCAGAGATGAACCACATGGCAGAAGCTGACTCAAGAGTCCCATGACGTAGGCATGCAGAGGGAGCAGGGCCACTCTGGGACCCTGGCTTCTGGGATCCTGGATGGGAAGCCACATCCTCTTTCACAAAGGACTAGTGCGACTGAGTGGAGCAGATCCCTCAACCACTGGGCAGGATGGCAGATTCTGATCCCGAGGAAAAGCCAGGTGGCAAGAGTTGGGAAAGTAAGGCTGCCGAGGGAATCAATTTGTCCCAAACTTGTGCACAACTCATGCTTACTTACACACATTTGTGGGACACTCCGTCAGCAAATGACAAGAGAGTGTATCTCCAAATCCTGACTCTGTACCCCATCTGGTAGGGGGGCTCAGTCCCAGAGTATGCTCAGAATTAAGAAAAAGCACTTGGAGACTCTGCCCATCAATCATGGGAGATCCCCAGTGCCCACTGTTTCTTGCAGGAGGGCCAAGTGTATCAGGGGCAAGGTCATACTAGTACAGGGAAGCTTGGCAAGAGAACTGGAACTTATTTTAGGTTCTTTGAAATTACACAATCCCCAGCTCTAGCAGCTGGGAGAAGTTTCACAAGCTGAGATTTTTCACAGGAAGCAAGCTCTTGGAAGCTGTAAGGCCCTTGGTCCAGTGCGGTGCAGGCATCCAACTCTGGAAGCATACCAATGCAGGGCCACACCATGGTGCTCTGTCACCTGAGCCCCAAGGCCTTCCTCGATATATCCGCGTCCTGTCCCTCTGCAATTTCACCTAGGCCCTTCTCTGTGCATACGGTTCACCAGGGTTCAAACTTCAGTCTCAGCATGCAGGAATTTGATTTGATTTGATTTTTTTGTAGTGCTAGGGAACCCAGGGCCTTACATGTGACAGGCAAGTGCTGCCCAGCAGAGCATGCCCCAAGCACCATGAATTTATTTATTTATTATTTATTTATTTATTTTGGTCTTTTTGAGACAGGGTCTCCCTGTAGCCCCAGCTGTCCTGGAACTCACTATGTAGACCAGGCTGGCCTTGAAGTCAGAGATCCACCTGCCTCTGCCTCCGGAGTGCTGGGATTAAAGGCATGCACCACCGCCTGGCTAATTTTTTTTTTTTTTTTTTTGAGACAGGATCTCCCTGTAGCTTCAACTGGCCTCAATCTCACAGAGATATGCCTGTCTCTGCCTCCGGAGTACTGGGAATAAAGATGTGTGCCACCACATTGGGCTCCATGGACTTACTTTAAGTAGTGACACTACTAGAATCCATTTTTCTGGAAAGACAGAAAAGTGTATTAACCTTGCTCTCATTTTGCTATAATGGCTCACACTGCTTCCTTGCATCTGATTAATGTGCTGAAAGAAGGGCTAAGCAGAAAAGAGCTTGATATAGGGCAGTTCCTAGTGCCCAAAGCACTTGACCTTGCCTAGTCTAGGTCAAAACCTATTGAAATGTAGTGTGTATGCAAGAAGCAAATAGACAGTGAATGCCATAACATGGGACAAACAGAACACAGAATTCATGAAGGACCACACCCAAGTACTGACTGAAAAGTCAGAACTGATCAAACCATCTCTATGAACAGATGATTTGAGATAAGGGCCCATAAACTGGAATTATTCTAAACCTCATGAAGTTTTCTTTTCTTCAAAAAACAGGGTCAGGCCTGAGAGATGGCTCACTAGGCTAAGGTACTTGTCAAACCTGAAGACTTGAGTTTGATCCCTGGAACTCACATGGTAAGGAGAGAACTGACTCCAGCAAGTTGTCCTCTGATGGCCACATGAAAGCATATGAACCACATCTGTTGCACACATACACATTACAAAAGAAAAGCCAGGGCTGGGTGTGGTGCACACACCTTTAATCCTAGCACTTAAGAGGCAGATAATCTCTATGAATTCGAGGTCTAGGTGGTCTACATACAAAGTTCCAGGCCAGCTGGGACTATAGGAAGAGTCTCCAAAAGAAAAAAAAAAAGTGTAGCCCAGACTAGAATGGAATTTACAATCTTTCTGCCACAGCTCCCAAATATTGGGATAACAGGTGTTTACATATCTGTGGCATAACACCACACTTGGTGGATGAATGTTTTCAAAATATAATTAGGAGCTGAAGAGATGGCTCAGAGGTTAAGAGTACTTGTTGATCTTGGAGGACCAGGGCTAGGTTGCCAGCACCCATATGGTGCCTGTAACTCCAGATGCAAGGGATCCAATGTGTTCTTCAGGCCTCTGTAGGTACTGCATGTATATGGTGCTCTTACATACATGCAACCAAATCCTCATATACATAAAATAAAAAATTTAGAGGCTGGCCGGGTGTGGTGGTGCAGGTCTTTAATCCTAGCACTTGAGAGGCAGAGGCAGGCGGATCTCTGTGAGTTCAAGCTCAAAAAGAACGCCCCCCTCAAAAAAAAAAATTTAAAGGCTGGAAAGATAACTCAGAAGTTAAGAGCATCTGGGTTCGGTTCCCACCACCCACATGGCAGCAAACAACCATCTGTAATTTGAATTCCAGGGGATCTGACACCTTCTGACCTCCATGGGCATTGCACAACATGGGTGCACTTAAATATGTGCAGACAATACACTCACACATAAGATAAAAAGAAAATTTTTTTTTTTAGGAAATAAAAATTTAAGCCAGGAGGGGTGGCGCACACCTTTAGTCCCAGCATGGAGACCCTGTCTCAAAAAGGCCAAAAAAAAAATTAAGGTGCTGGAGAGATCGCTCAGTGGTTAAGAGGAACCCAACGCCCTCTTCTGATCTCCATGGGCACTGCAACTACCTACATGCAGGCAATACATTCATATATACAAAACACCTTTTTATCTTTTTAAAATAAGTTAAGGGCTGGAGAGATGGCTCAGCAGTTAAGAGTACTGACTGCTCTTCCAGAGGACCCAGGTTCAGTTCTCAACAACTACATGGCAACTCGCAACCACCCAGTTCCAGGGAATCCAGTGCCCTCTTCTGGCCTCCACAGGCATTGCACACATGGCATCCCACACTTACATGTAGGCAAAACACTCATACATATAAAATAAATGTAAGAATTGCTGGGAATTTAGCTCAGTGGTAGAGCATTTGCCTAGCAAGCACAAGGCCCTGGGTTTGGTCCTCAGCTCTGAAAAAAAAAAAAAAAAAAAGACAAAAATAAAGAATTGCTTTTAAAAGTGAATAAATAACCCTTAGTGCTAGCAATAACAATAAAGTCTATGGTAGAATATGTGCAGTTTCTGTCTATGCAAACACTACACCATTTTGTAGAAGGGCCTTGAGCATCTATGGATATTGGTTCCTAAAGGACTTCTACAGCCAATCACAAAGGCTCTGTTCCCTCAGAAGTAGGTGTGGGCCATCAGTTGTTCACATAGCATAAATTCATACCAACCAAATATAGGACTGGACTCTATTTTGTCTTTTGTGGATTTCTGAGACAGGGTCTCACTGTATAGACCAGGCTGGTTTCAAACTCAGATCTGCCTGCCTCTGCCTCCTGAATGCTGGGATTAAAGGTGTGCACCATCATGCCCAACCCTTGTCCTTTCGGTGTTTTTTTTCTTTTTAAATTTTTTTTTTTTTTTTTGGTCTTCTTGAGACAGGGTCTCCCTGTAGCCCCAACTGTCCTGGAACTGTGTAGACCACCACGCTGGCCTTGAACTCACAGAGATCCACCTGCCTCTGCCTCCAGAGTGCTGGGATTAAAGGCATGTGCCACCATGCCTGGCTTTCTTCTTAAATATTTATTATTTTTATTTTATGTGTATGTGTGTATTGCCTGTGTGTAGGTAGGTGCACCCATGTCGTGCAATGCCCGCAGAGGACAGAAGAGGCTGTCAGATCCCCTGGAACTGGAATTACATACAGATGTTAGCTGCCATGTGGGTGCTGGGATTCGAACCCGGGTCTGGGTCTTCAGCAAGAACAGTTAGTGTTCTTAACCGCTGAGGCATCTCTCCAGGGCCCGCCCCCACCCCCTTTTTGGTGTGTTTTTTAATTTTTTTTAGGAGAGATGACTCAGCAGTTAAGAGCACTGACTGCTCTTGCAGAGGACCCAGGTTAGATTCCCAGCACCCACATGGCGGCTACAAATGGTCCTTAACTCCAGTTCCTGGGGAATTTGAAGCCCTCTTCTGACCTCCACAGCATTGTATGACATGGGTGCACTCATACATACAGGTAATATACTCATACACATAAAATAAAAATAATATTAAAAAAAAATTTTTTAGCTTTTTGAGACAGGGTCTCTCTGTAGCCCGAGCTGGCCTGAACTCAGGCTGGCCTTGAACTCAGAGATCTGCCTGCCTCTGCCTCCCGAGTGATGGGACAAAAGACATCTGGCTACCACACCTGGCAAATATTTATTATTTTTATTTTATAAGTGTATTGCCTGCATGTAGGTAAGTGAACCCATGTCATGCAATGCCCTCAATGGTCAGAAGAGGGCATTGGAACTGAATCCCCTTGGAACTGGAGTTACAATTGTTAGCTGCCATCTGGGTGCTGGGACTCAAACTGGAGTCCTCTGTAAGAGCAGCCAGTGCTCCTGGCTGCTGAGTCATCTCTCCAGCCCCCCCCCCCCTTTTTTTTGCCTTTTTGAGACAGGGTCTCCCTGTAGCCCCAGCTGTCCTGGAACTCATTATGTAGACCAGGCTGGCCTTGAACTCACAGAGATCCGCCTATCTCTGCCTCCCGAGTGCTGGGATTAAAGGCGTGCGCCACCATGCCCGGCGCCTTTTTGTTTTTTAATGTGTGTGTGTATGTGTAATATGTGTTTATAGACATTTTCCTGTGTATGAATGTGGCTGTGCCTGAGCCATGCCTTATGTGGAGGTCAGAGAATAACCTAAGGTGCCAGACATATGCTAGGCTAGCTGGCCTGAGAGCTGTTTTATTCACTGAGTCATCTCCCAAGCTCAATTCCATTTTGTCTTGATGCCCTAAGTTCACACTTACACCTGTATACCTTTTAGTATTTAGGAAAAGAAAACCAAAGCAGACAATCTATTAAAGACATAGAAAGACTTTACACACCCTAGGCAACCACTCTATTAATGAGCTAACCCTCAGCCAACTCCCTTTTTCCTCCTTTTGCTTTGTTTTTTGGGGACAGGGTTTTAGGAAGCCTAGGCTGGCCTGGAACTTGTTATGTAGCTGAAGCTGACCCTGAACTTCTGATCCTCTAGCCTTTTCACCTTCTGAGTACTGGGATTACAGGTATGTGCCACCCTGCTTGTTTCAGTTGTTTGAGACCAGGTTTCCCTAGGTAGCCTAGGCTGGCATCTTCCTGCACATTACAATAGTGCACATCACACCTGCCCTCTCCTGTTTTAAACTTCTATTAGGACTTCTTTCTGTGTATTTATCACCTGGCCTTTGTTCATCATCACAAGATTAATGATGGTTGGCCTTGGTGCATAACATCTGGCTTCTATGACTTAATCAGCTCCTGTCTGTTGAAATTCTCAACTAAATAGAGGTGTAGAGGTAGAATGCCAGGCCAAGTACAGTACATGTAAATCTGTACCTACCTCCAGATGTTGAGCAGAGAACATAGGGCTTAGAGCCCTTGGGAAATGGAGATCACCTGACCAGGGCTGGGGGGGCTTCTCGGGTTTCAGGTGATGGTGTCAAGAGGAGGCAGGGAACAGCTACTGCTTCTCTACACTTTGTGGAAGAGACCAGGATGAGGAAAGCCAGCTTGCAGGTCAGTCACAGAATGTGAAGAATGGAATCAGTCATTGTGACCAGATGGAATTCTTGGAGGAAAAGCACCTTGTCGAGCTGTAAATGAAAATAGCACCTGTTCTGTCTTTTCAGAGGATCCTGATTTGCCAAGAAATTCTATGGTCATCCATTTTATGTTCTACCTCTAAAGTAAGGACTGTTGGGCCAGAGATACAGCTATGTATCAGAGCACCTGTTTAGCATGTTTGGCCTTGGGTTTGATTCCTAGTACCAAAACACACACAAAACCTACAAGTAAATTTCTTTCTTTCTTTCTTTTTTTTTTTTTTCCAGGACTGGAGCAAAGATAAAGAATTCAAAGGCTGGAGAGGTATCTCAGTTGGTAAAGTGCTTCCCATGAAAACAAGAGGAATAGAGCTAGAATCCCCAGCACTTATGTAAAAATTAATTTTAAAAATGCTGGATGTGCCGAGCGTGGTGGCTCACGCCTGTAGTCCCAGCACTTGGGAGGCAGAGGCAGATCTCTGTGAGTTCAAGGCCAGCCCGGTCTACATAGTGAGTTCCAGGACAGCTGGGGCCACAGGGAGACCCTGCTTCAAAAAAACCAAAAAAAAAAAAAAAAAAAAAGCTGGATGTGATGACACATGTCTGTAATCCCACTGCTGGGATTACAGAGTAAGTGGATTGATCCCTAGCTTACTGGCCAGCCAGTATAGCAGAATCAGAGCTCCAGGTTCAGTAGAGACCCTGTCTCAAAAAAAAAAAAAAAAAGTAATTGAGAAAGACGCCCGATTTTTACCTCTGGCCTCCACAAGCACACATGAATACATACACACTATACAAATAAAGAAACTAAGAATCTGGACTCAGAACTCAGAGATAAGCTTCAGTGGTAACAGTTTTACAAACTGGCGGCTGGGTGACTTGAAAAAGTCGCTCTGTTCCTATTCAAAAGTGAGTAGGAGCCCGACTCTTGTCTTGTCTGCTCCAATGCTATAAATAAGGACTAAAAGTACTAGATAATGACCATGCAACCATTTTTAAGTGCAAGGAGCACAAAGAGGCATTGAAACCCAGTCTCTTGCCATCTGGGAACTGTGAATCCTTTAGCCTGTTAGCTCTTTGTATCTCCTCCTGGCTTTAAAATTAAATATTGTTCCACAGTGTTATTCTGCACTCTGTCTTGTCCCAGAAAGGATTTAACCTAGTTTATGGTTAGTCATAAGCAGACTCCTGCTTATGAGAGGCTGAGCCATCAACCCACCAAAGCACACACTGTAAAAGCTCCACGCTAACAGGAGTGGATGGCTTTGCCTAAAAATCATCCACCAACCACCAAGAGGCACAAGTTGGCACACTCTAAGCCTCTCAGAGTTCCACTTCCTCAGCTGCTACCTCTTTTTTTCAACCCTCCGTAGAGAAATGGTCTCATGGAGTACTTCCTCCTGAAAGCAGGATTTGCCTTCTGTGGAGCTGAGACTCCCAGGTAATCTCACATTTTACCTGTGCACATACTTCATCTGAGAAGTCTTTTGCTCTTTGTGGCTCCTGTCCTCTCATTTAACAGATGAGATGAACATCCACCTTTATGTTGCACAGATGAATTAAGTCACTCTATAAAAGATGCACAAAAGGCAGTGACCTTCCAGCTGACCCAGCACTGTTCAGCCACTGCCCTGATTAGATCAGCCCACCAAAAGGGAAGAGGAATTGCTTGCACTGAGCCAGCTGGAAGCCAGTGGAAACCTCAGGAACCTGCTAAGGCCTGCCTGGCTGTGCCACCCCCAGAACCGGTACTGAGGAGACAAAATTACCTGCAGCAACAGGAGCTAGAAGCCCCTATCCCTCCCCACCAGGGGAAGCTCAAGCATATGGTTGGGACCAAGCTAAAGAAGGAAGCTTGGTTCTGGGTAATACCCATGCAGTTACAGGTGACAAGCAGAAACTGCTGGGGGCAAAACTGGAGTTGTTTGGAGAATGCATTGTTAGGAGACAAATGGTGTGAAAGAGATTCGCCAGTGGGGAGAGGGAGCATCACAAAGAAAAAGAATGAGAAGGGTCTGTCCACTTCGGGGAAAGTGTCCGCGAGGAAAAATGGGGGGAGGGTGCTGGAAGTTGGGGGTCCCCATAGGAGGAAGTGCATAGTGTCTCACTGCTGGGGAGAGGATAGGTGGAAGTTTTCCTAGGTGAAAATCGGGGAGTGGTTGGAACGGGGGTCTTGCCATAGGGAAGATGGAGCGGCTGTGAGTCTCCAAAGGTTAAATGAAGACTGACGTCTCTACATTGGAAAATGTGCCAAGGACGAGCACTACAGGACCAGGAATCAAAAGGCCTCCATTAGAGATCGCGGGGTATACACGAGGAGGTCGGAGTTGGGGCCACGGAGGTGTGTTGCCAAGGGACGATCGGGTGGGCTGACGGGGAGGTTTCCGGGGAGTGGAAGAAACCCGGGGGTGGGAAGGGACAGGCAGGTCTGGGGGTCTTTACACGGGCCCAGTCTCACCGTCCTCCAGGGCCTCACTACATTCGAAGTTGATCTCGAACCGGAAGGGGCTTTGGAAAGGGCTCGGGTTCTCCAGGACCGCCACATTCAGCACCGACACCTTGGCCATCACCTCGCAGAGGGCAGCTGCTGCGGCGGAGCCCTGGTCGGCGCTCGGCGGTGGCAAAAGCGACTGGGAACGGAGGTGAACGAGCAGGATCAGCTAAGAAACCCCGGTTCCTCTCTCCGCCGACAGAGGTGTGGACCACCCCGCCCCACCTACTCCGCGCGCCGCCTTCAAATAGCCAGCTCGGCCCGAAAGCCAATCACCACCAACGTTCCTTGGCGGCGCGAGAGCCTATTAGCCAATCCTGGAGCGTCTACTGGCTCGCGCCGGAACTCCCCAGGCCAATCAGAGACGCTCCCTCTTCCCCAGGCAGGGGAGGCGGGACTATCTCCCAGTGTCCTAAAGTGTTGGTGGGGAACCAATCCCCAGCGTCTCCGACTCCGATAACTAGGGCGGGGGTGGGCGAAGCCTGCGGGCGGAACTTCTCTGATCCAATCCCGAGGGTTCCCGCACCGCGTGGCCCACGCCCTTGCTCCGCTTTTCCGAAAGATGCTTTCCGAAGAGAGCTGCCCGGCCAACCGCCGAACGGTGGCGCACGGTACTTACTTTAGAGCGCAGGAAACTGTAGCCCGAGGGATGACTTAGCGGTTAAGAGCACTTGCTGCTCTTGCGGAGAGTGTGGGTTCGGTTCCCAGCACCCACAGGGCGGCTTGTAACCACCCAAAGTTCCCATTCCCCAGGACCCCACACCTCCCCTTATACATAATTTTAAAATAAAATGTAAAATAGAATACTTTTTTTTTTTTTTTTTTTTTAAAGAACAGTGACAGGAGTAGGACAAAGCTAGCTCAGGTTTCTGAGAAGTGATTGGCTGACGAGAAAGGCTTGGTTGGCGGGCAGCGGAAGTTGAGTGCAGCACCTCTGAGTAGAGCGTGGGCGACTGTCTGCAGGTGAGAGTCGCTGCTGGTACCTGCACTGTGACGCTTGTGAACACTGTCCTGGGAACGTTTCTCTGCCCGTTAATGCCATGATTTATGACGACAACGGAGCTGGAAACTTCTCTTCACCTCACCCTTGCCTGGGAGCCTTGTTAGAGTCTGTTCCACGAGCCATAGACCTAATTGCACACTTTTACTAAATGTACTCACATATTTAAAGGTTAAAAAACGACAAATCGCCGGGCGTGGTGGCACATGCCTGTAGTCCCAACACTTGGGAGGCAGAGGCAGGCAGATCTTTGTGAGTTTGAGGCTAGCCTGGTCTACATAATGAGTTCCAGGACAGCTGTGGCTACAGGGAGACCCTGTCTCAAAAAGACAAAAAACAACAAACAAAACACAACTCGGGCTGGAGAGATGGCTCAGCGGTTAGGGACACTGACTACTCTTCCAGAGGACCTGGGTTCATTCCTAGAACTCACATGGCGGCCAACAACTGTCCTAACTCCAGTTCCAGGGAATCTGAAACCCTCTAGACCTCCACGAGCATTGCACACAACACTGGTGCACTTATATACGTGCAGGCACTACACTCATACACAGTTTTTATTTAAAAAAAAACAACGAATCGGGGCTGGATAGATCACCCGGGTTCCAATCCCAGCACCCCCATGGCAACTAGCAACTCTCCCGTAACTCCAATTCCAGGGGATCTGACTGCCTCATCTGTCCTCCGGGCATTGCACGACACAGGTGCACTTACCTACATGCAGGCAATACACGCATACACATGAAATAAAATTAATAAAATATTAAAAAAAAACCCGAATCAGTGAAATTAAATTTTACACTTGACTTTAGCCAAGAGGCAAACTGATGAAATTGATTTCAATAGTACATTTAGTTCAGAAAAAACAAATTTCAAATATAATCAGTATAAAAAACTGAAATCTCATACATCCTTTTATTCAGTGAAAAGAAAAAGATGAGGCGGCATTAATTTGAATATCTTTAATCCAGTATAATTGAAATAATTTCTTTTTCAAAATGTTATATTAAGCTGGCCATGGTGACACAGGCCTGTAGTCCCAGCACTTGGGAGTCAGAGGCAGGTGGATCTCTGTGAGTTCAAGACCAGCCTGGTCTACATAGTGAGTTCCAGGACAGCTGGGGCTACAGGAGACGCTGTCTCAAAAAGAAAAAAAAAAAAAGTGGATTCATGTGGATTCATGTGCCTCAACCCCAGCTGTTTCCTACATTCTTAAAAGCTTTCCACCCCCAGCACTAAAATAAGTGATAAAGTGGTCAGATGTGGTGGCTCATGTCTGTAATCCAGCTCTTGGGAGGCTGAGGCAGGAGGATTGCCATGATTTTGAGGCCGGACTCATAGCAAGACCTGGCTCAAAAAGCAATAAATGTAATGCTGAAATCGCCATGTTTTCTAGACACACCTTTATCCACCCCATGATTGTCACTCTCCTTTTGTATTATGGACTTATTTGTCTCCAGGCCCATTCTTTCCATACCCCTGAAAACCATGATGGAGGGGTGAGACAATGCGAGAGATAAATAATGCCTAGCTAGTTTTGAAAACCATAGGGAACGTATTACTCCTACATTTACTGACAAATTATACATAGGAGATCAGGAAATATATATCTAGGTAAGGTTTATCTGAGAACAATTGGTCTTTGCCCAAGATTTATCTACATGACACACAGTAATTAAAAGTACCAAACTGCTGATGGAACTAACCTTCTTGGATGTTTAACAGACATACTTTGAGGCCTATACTAATTTGGTCAGAGGGACATAAAGGACAGTTTTTGCTCCTTGCCCTCCTAGGTCGACTAGTTCCAGGGGACTATGAGCATCTCTCAAAACGTCCTGTAACTGTGGTGGGTCACCTGTCCTCTTGATCAAGGAGGCTGAGGAGACCCCACAAGATGGACTTGAACTAGTGTCCAGTCTACAAAGAGGAGGGTCAACAGAGTAATTATTTCCTCCATGCTTCCAAGCGAAGCCAACCATGGTCGAGTAGGACCTTTGACTTATCTTTACACAGGAGGAACTGGTAAAAGAAAGGAGCCAGGGGCTCCTCCAAAATCCATGTGATCCCTGAGGAACAGATCCTCAAACGACCTTAAGAGTGAAAATAAATTGGTTTATCTGAGCCAACTGTATAGCCTTAAACACCCAAAAGGAAAGTATAACCAAACATTAAAGGGGCCAATATAATTTCTTAAGAGTCCATATGCATAGCTAAAGGCTACATTACAAGCAACAATGCCAGATAGGAGATACCTTCTTCTGAGTTGTTGGCCAGGGTGACCAAAGGGATTCCCAGATAGTAACCCAGCATAGAACTGGGAAATTGAACAACAGACCCCAATCTTATCCAAAGGAATATT